CGTAAATAGTCTAGTAGTAGAGACGCATAGCGATCGTCGCGTGCAGCGTGGGTCTGTAGTAGGTTATAAACCATGGAAATAACCTAAACTTAACTGTCACCAAGATGTATGAACACTTTTAAGGTCCTTGACAGATGCGTGGGGGTCTACTTAATAGTACTACAAGTGTAAACCTTGCATCTGTTAATATAAGGACCTTTATAAGTTTAACATGACAGGGTTCTGGTTACATCTAAGACTAAGACTCTGTAAGACAATAAAGACTCGAAACATCGAAATGACCCAAACAATCAAATTTACGTTCAAATGGTTAACAGTTCAACTATAAGTATATAAATATAATAGCTTATACTTTAGCTAGTTCTAGTGTTACCAGTTACGTGACCAAACAATTTGACATGACACTATTCTAGGCCCAGTAATATGCATGAGCATCGCGCCACAATTATATGTATGATGATTTTAATCACTGAACACTCTACTCTGATCTCGACTGTTTTTAACCCTCACCCAAGCCCTGACAAAAGTACTTGCTGAAACCAGAAACGCTAACCCTATACTAGGCTTACTGGACGGCGCTCACTAGCCTATCATTCTGCCGAATCTCTATTGTTATGTTCATCATCATGAACACAATAGCCTGGGGTCCCCAGGTAAGTTTCCCCAGGTAAACTTCCTTATTGTTATGTAGTTGTATAGTCATATTTAATCATATCTAATGGTTCGTTCACATATTACGTAATCAGCCGAGGGGGAGGGGGTTTCCAAATGATTATGCTAGTGTAATTTTGACACAATAACTATGTGTAAAACTGATTACGGAGGCCGAGGAGGATTAAAAATTGTTCAAAAAGTGATTACGTAATATGTAAACGACCCCTAATCATATTTAATCATATTTAATCATATCTGATCATATCTAATCATATTTAATCATATTTAATCATGCACAATATACAATAACGCGAGCGACGTTTGGCATAACAGATGATACACCATAAACGACGCGAGTCTAATTTTCGTTTAAGTTGAAAGAAGCGCGAGCCTTCTATTGTCTATGCCTATCAGTTTCAGTTTACGAAATATTAATCCCGGGCAACGCCCTACTTGGTCAGTTCACTGCACAGTTGTCGTTTGCCTTTGTCAATGAATTGACTCGGTGCGCGTTACTTTTTTACCTGACAGTGGCACGCTTGTAGCGCGATGCAATACTGACAGTGACTACTGGGCCGCGCTGCGCATCAAATAATGTTTCTCGCAACGATCCTGATGGGTTGATATCGTCAATCAGCCTGCAGTTTGTAAGTGTAATTCCGCCAATGCAATTATAGCTTCAATCGGTTATTATTAGTAGAGGCTCTTACGGGCATTGTCTGCTCGATACGCTAGGGACCCCAGATACACCTTTCTAGACGTATTTTTGACCGTAGAATCGATTAAAAGTGATTTCGAGATGATTGGACTGAGTTTACGCGGGTAAAATCGCAAAAAACCGATTTTTGGGCAAAAAATAGGCCAAAAAACCATGTTTTTTGATATTTTGAACAAGTTAATTTTGTTGGCATGTCGGCAAAACTTGCATGGAAATAGCTAAAACACAGCCGCACAAGATGGTTTAAAAATTTTAAAAATCCCTCTGTTTTTACGCGGGTAAAAATCCAAAAAAGTGGTAAAAATGTTGACTTTTTTGCTTGAAGTTTGAATAATTTTTTGCAGTTGTATTAAATCAACCCAAAAATAGTCACATCGTGTTTGCCTAAATTTTTCCTTTCCGAGAAGTACCCACTTCATATACTTTATCGAAGTTTGAATATTGTCACTCCGCAAGCGTTTTTGCCAAATTTTCGACGCGCACTACTGACTACGCGCAAAAGCATTTAGTTGTTATCAATTGGCACCCGCGCGTTCATCATAAATTTCAAACAGCTATAACTCAGCGAGATTATGTCCGTTCTAGCTCATATTTTCACAATAAATAGAAAATAATGTGATCTTATTGCTGACAAAATATGAATATAATTACTTTATTTGCCTTAGAGTAATAGACTGTCAAAGTTTAAAACGCGCATTGGTATAGCACGTGACTAATAAGGCCAAATTTATACTTCTTAACATATTATCGATCCTTAGACATCATACTATTGTGTCCAATTAGCGGTTAGGTTTCTAAACTCGTAGCAGAAAACACGTCTTTTTGCCCGTAAGAGCCTCTACTATATTAACACAAAAGCCGGAGGTCCCCTTAATTGACGATGTCAATTCTTCTTTGCTCGGCGAGGCCCAGTAGCGCATTTCGCCGAACAACGAAGGTTGGTGGTTGCGAGAAGCATTATTTGTTATTGGTTGACGGATGTCACTCGTCTAAATTTATTCGAAGTAGCACGCGCCGCTTTTTTCTCGAGGCAAGTGCCCGAGCACCGAGGCAAGTGCTATACTACGGAGCTGAGCTGTGAGTAGCGCGCGCCGGGCTAGTCCATTAACAATGGACAACATTATTGGATTTGGATGCGTGGCGCGGCGCGGCCCAGTAACGCATCGCGCTACAAGGTGTAGACTTAGCGTGATTTACCACGCTCGCTTTTGTAGCGCGATGCACTACTGGGTCGCGCGCGCATCAAATAATGCTTCTCGGTAGATCGGCGAGATGCACCACTGTGCCTCACCGAGCTGCGAAGGATTGACATCGTGAATCAAGCTCGCTTCTACTTCATTGACATTATGCCAAACGCAATTTCAAATTTGCATTAAGAGACAAACCTCAGAGTCAGACCTAAAATCATCAAAAGCAAAGAACTAGAAGTAAAATTAAGTAAAATAATTCAAAATACATAATATATCAATATGTAAGTACTGCAGCAGGATAAAGATGAATGACTATAAAGTGATACCTGCACTATTATACCACAGCTGGAGGTGCATGGTTAAGTGGCTTAACGTTGTAACGTTGCCTGTTGGCGCCCCCCCCGCTGAAAAAGCGCTTGACCATAATTGTTAATGATCTGGCCCGGCGCGCGCTACTTCGTAGCACTTGCCATCGGGCCAATATTTCGAAGAAATTTAGACGGGTAACATCCGTCAAAAAAAGCGCTTGACGGATATGATGTTACTCGTCTAAACACTAAATTTCTTCGAAGTAGCGCGCGCTGCTTTCTTCTCGAACATCGATGATCGAAATGCCCGACGGTAAGTGCTACGAAGTAGCGCGCGCCGGGCCAGACCATTAACAATGGTCAAAAAGCGCCCCCTGTTGGCGCCCCCTCCCTTTTTGGAGCCCCTCCAGCAACCAAACACCCAGGGTTGGTCAAAGCATTCGCGATTTAAGGGACAAGTTACACAACATAACACCAAACATAAGCAGTAAAATGAATGTTATCTGCTGCAGCCGAAATTATATCAGTGTTCGTGCAACGATGTTTAACTCCATCAACCAATGAAATGAGAAGTGTCGAGTGTGGACTTTTTACTGGTTAATACGATTACAGTATTGATCTACAAAGCTGAGCTCATTCGATTACTGTATAGTGTATAAGCCCAAAGCTAGAAGGGTGTCAGATTACCCAGGGAACGCAAAGGTTACTGCTTACTCTTGTTGCTAAATTTCACGATCTAACGATCCATGGAAGGTCATAAATGTTATCTGCTGCAGCGAAAATTATATCAGCGTTCTTGTGACGATGTTAACTCCATCAACCAATGAGGAGAGTTGCATTTTTACTGGTTAATAAGATTGCAGTATTTAGCAAAGCTAAGCTCGTTCGATTACTGTTTAATTAGCCCAAAGGGTGTCAGATAACCCAGGGAACGCAAAGGTTACTGCTTACCCTTGGTGCTCAATTTCATGATCTATGGAACTGGAAGGTCATAAATGTTCAATACAGTTGATAGTTGTTAAGGGGTCGTTCACATATTATTATTACTTACTCAATTTTTAATCCCCCCTCCCCTCATAATCAATCAGTTATACAATGCAGTTATACACATTGACATAGTTATTGTGTTAGAATTACCCCCTCTCTCCCCGGGTATTACGAAATATGTGAACGACCCCTAAAAAGAACGAGTAGTGGTACTACTAATAGTAGTGCGAATATGTGCGGAAGATGGCAAAGGTGCGATAAAGTATGGCAGTGGCAGTGGCACCAAAGTTAAATGTTGCCTCTGGACTCTGGCAGGCTGTCCGCGTACAGTTTATTGTCGATAACATTAACTAAGCCTGTTTTCAGTGAATGGACTTGAGATTATCACAGGCGAAATATTCAAGCTCAAATACCATAGTACACAACTTATAAAATATAATGATTATCGCATCTGATCATGTACAAATGCAACTAGGCTTATTTTGGTTCAAATTATTCACTATATTCTGTTTAGGGGCCGTTCACATATTACATATTACGTAATCACTTTTTGGACAGTTTCTACCTCTCCCCCTCCGTAATCACTAATCATGGAAACTGCGAGATTCATTTATTATTTATGGCTGTTAGTTTCGGACAAAACTAAAACCTAGTTTCGGACAGGTGCAGTTGCAATTATTTCATGGTCAAAGACTCGAGCTTGTTACCATCCCATTTACGAGAGGGTAGTCACTATCCAACGAGCCGAGGTCATTTAATGAGAACGTTCTGGAGCAGGTAGTTCACAGTATAATTGCCTAGATGTATTCATTTAGTTTTATATGATTCCTTTCTGGAGCTGCAGTGGAGAGACTGTTAAACAGTGAACTATCAATTAGTCCTATCTGTTTAATCTATATTACAATAACCACTAGCGTAATAATTTAGAAACCCCTTCAGTGATTACATTAAATGTGAAGTTGAACGATCCCTGAACAATTTGGTTAGTTTCTCAGGACTTTCAACGGTCCGTTGAGTTGAACAGAATCGGGGATCCTATCTCTACTCATCTAGACCTTTTGAAACAGTTATGCCGTTTCAAAAGTTATTTTATCTCTCAACTTGATCACTCAGTCATGACCTTGTACACAGATTGAAATAGAATTTATAGAAATCGAATCTCAGAACGAACACTCAGCTAATTTTTAAAGATTCAAGAAGTGTAATCCCATCCAAAAATTAACGTGCTAAACGTTATTTAACTAATTAAGCTACGGTACAAAAAGCACGGTTGTGGATTGAGCGAAAGACAAAATCATGCTGAAAAGCTAGCTGTACCGCTTTTGGTAAAAAACACGTATGTTTTCACAGCAACAGGTCATAAGATGTATTCTCATATTAGCATATCAAAGCATAAATTGATTAAGATTTATTCGACACAACGTGAATAAAATTCACTGAAAGTGAAAGTAAAATTAAATTTTCACAAACAAGTCCCTAAGTCGGACATAAAACAGTTTTATCGGTATTCTTCAGTCTTAAACAGAGACTTAAAATAACAGTCATGTTTGAAAGCAAAGTTTCAAAACACTAACATCTCCTCTTACATTAACTTCAGTAAAACAAAGACTGAGGGCGCTTTTAATCTCGGCAGGTCTAATGGTTTCAACACATAGAGCTGAGATATCTTTCTTGAGGACTCCACAAATAGATTCACACACTTCCATAACAGTCGCTGCGTCTCCTTCTGGTCGAACCTGAAAACTTGGTTGTTAATACGGAGATACTAGAAATGGAGCACGAAATATAAGGCTAGTTGTATTACTGGGAAATTCGTTTTTAGTGCTTTACTGAAGTTTTTTCAAGAGGAGACTTGAAAAGCAACTCTCAACACTCATTTCAAAATTCATTTTTATGAGTGACCTTACAAGTGCATTATTTGGACGATATTTTGTTTTAAATGCGTAAATTAAATGCAAGAATGTTTCGAGAGGTGCGTAGAAGTACGCACTCATCAACTTGACTATAGTTAATGGGATTAGATGTTTTTATATATTTTTAGTGTAATTTCTTCTCTGATAACTTGACATTTTGTTTTGTACTGATATTCGTGACTACAACGTGTGAAAATGGGATCTGCACAAATTGCCATTGCCAACACAGAAGTTAATACATCTTTTGGGGGATGATACACTTCATACTGACAAATGTATAGAATTTTTCTTAGTCTTACTGGCGCGAGCTGTATAGCTATATAAATATGATAGCACGATCAATACAACATCTAGGAACATTTATTTTGGTAGTTGGAGTGGATAACGCTGCCGGTAGAGCCCTGGTAGAGCGTTATATTATTATAAATGCCAGTTCCTAGTTATATTATTATAAGATTACCCGCTGCCAGATCACAATACTAGGAATTTGATAATATCCCAAGTATTGTGATATTGCAGCGGTTATATTATAATATAGATTATATTTATTAACAAATACCAATTCTTGAATAGTATTAGCAGCTAACTATGGCTAACTATCGATAAACCAGTAATCAAGGGTTATCCTTATATAGATGTAAGTCGGACCTGCCCAAACTAAAGAGCCATGGCAGAGCGGGTCTCACGTTGCTACCTCAACTATTTTTCAATAGCTTCGCGCGTGTCAGACAAGATCAAGGTAGAGCCAGCAGGCAAAGGACGGACTACAGACTACTGAGCTGAATACAGATAATAAATAACAATATGGTATCAAATATTCAACGCTATTTATAAATGCTATTTCATTAATAAACGTTTTATCAGAAACGTCAAAAACTCTAACTCTAAGTAATCAACAACTCATCAATTAAAGATGTGGTCAAGATTTATTTTATCATTATTAAACGGGTTTTAATAACGACCAATATTTATATTTAAAAGGCCAGCTAGTCTAAGCTTATCATTAAAATGTTGTGCCAGCATATTTAGTTGCAGTAAACTTTAAAATTTCAACCTCCCAACTTATACCTAAAATGTATTGTTTGTTTGGCAATGCCAATAAAATATGTCAGTGGCGAAACGGCTGCCCCCGCTAGCGGTGGGGGCTACTGCAACCTTATTTCGGTGGCGTCCGTACATCTCTGATGTAGAACCCGGGGGTCAGATCAGTTTAAATACGTGTTGAGCGTTCTATACTTGATGTTTGGTACATCACGTCTTCTTAAGAGCACATTCTTTACAATATCTTAGCAAGTTATATCACAAGAATCAGAATCTGCTGCCCACTAATTTTGATATAATATAACGAATAACGTACATTATACATATTACATAGTACATAATAATAATATCTCTATTATAATTCAAAGAATTATTTCTGATGTTGTCTGTATGTACGACCGCCCACGTGCAAATCAGATAAAAAATAGGAAGTTGCATAGTCACCATGGTAACGAGGGTTGTTACACGCACGTGCACGTGCAAAGATTGTAAGAACGGCATTTTTATCGGTTGTGTTGATATTACGTTGTGTTTAGTTCGAGCTACATTGTAATCGGCTGTATTTTTGGTTGTGACGGATGTTTTTTGATGCAAGAAAAACTTACTGACAAAAAAATACTATTACTTTCCTCCCTGTGACCACGGGCTTTCTAGTCTACTATAATTCAAAGAATTATATTTCTGATGTTGTTGTCTGTACGACCGCCCACGTGCAAATTAGATGAAAAATAGGAATTTAGGTAACAACCAAAAGGTTCCATAGCAACGGTGTTTTAATGCACACAATACACATGCACGTGCAAAGATTATTTTAACGTCATTTTGATCGGTTTTGTGGTAATTACGTTGTGTTTAAAGTGTTTTATATTTAAATCGGCTGTATCTTCGGTTGAGATGGATATTTTTTGATGCGATTAAAACTTTCTTACAAAGAATACTAATAGCTTCGTCCCTGTTACCACGGGCTTTCTAGTATCTACTATAATTCAGAGAATTATTTCTGCTGTATGTACGTACGACCGCCCACGTGCAAATTAGATGAGAAATAGGAATTTAGGTAACAACCAAAACGTTCCATAGCAACGGTGTTTTAATGCGCACGTGCAAAGATTGTTTTAACGTCATTTTGATCGGTTTTGTGGTTATTATTTTGTGTTTAAAGTGTTTTATATTTAAATCGGCTGTATCTTCGGTCGGGATGGATCTTTTTTGATGCGATTAAAACTTTCTTTCAAAGAATACTACTAGCTTCGTCCCTGTTACCACGGGCTTTCTAGTATACATATTAGGTTGGTTCAAAAAAAATAAAATTTCTCAAATTTTGCTGAGTATAAGCTCAAACGTTGATCCCATGGCTAAAACACCACCAAAAAAATTTTTTTGGTCCAACTCGTCTGGGATGGGACTGCACATGCCACGCCCTAATTTTGTGAGGTGCTTATACAGGTAAAATTCTTAAAATTGCCGTTTTTGACCTTAAAACGTCTAGACAGGGTCCCGAAAGCAATGGAGTGTAATATAAATGTGATAAAAAGGTTAACTTTAGTCAAGGTCTCATGTCTCTACGACCTTAGCATCAACATGTCTCTGCGCCTCCATTTTAAGGCGCGGTCGCGTCTCATCCATTGCTCAGTAAATGTCGTAGAGACATGAGACTTCAACTAAAGTAAACCTTTTCCTACCATTTATATTAGAGTAGCACAGATTCAGAGCTCTAAACACATTCTTTCATCCTTAAAACGACAGTCATATGAATTTTGCCTGTAAAAGTTGATATCTTGATGTCAATTAACATCGTAAGCTTTTGAAATTAAAATTAATTTAATGAATCATAATACTTAACACACAATATTTATATTACACGCAATATGAAAAAATACAGAAAATCTTCCTTGGATTCCACGTCTCCACACCCTGGAACTGTCAGAGGTAAGAACAACTTCGTTGGTTGCATTGTGTTGCAAAATTTGCTAGTGAAAACAAATTTAGCTTTCATTTTAGACTTCACGTCTCCCGAAATAAAACTGCGAACAAAGTGAAACAAGGAACTAAGTAAACTGTAAAACCAAATTTTCGTCACGCATTGGACTTTATCAAGGTTACACTGAAAAGGGGAGGTTTGATCTCTGAACCAGAGAGTGTGGTAATTACCACACTCTCTGGTTCAGAGATCAAACCTCCCCTTTTCAGTGTAACCTTGATAAAGTCCAATGCGTGACGAAAATTTGGTTTTACAGTTTACTTAGTTCCTTGTTTCACTTTGTTCGCAGTTTTATTTCGGGAGACGTGAAGTCTAAAATGAAAGCTAAATTCGTCTCAAACTCACGCTCAGCCTTAAGATCTATTTGCTAGTGAAAACAAACATTACTGGGGGAATTTGCCCTCTTCCAAGCTCTCTTAAAATGAAGTCGCATTCCGGAGCCTTATGTTTATGAATGAGCAGTTTGTGAATTTGTATACTGCTGTTGTCACTGTCGAGAACGAGCTGTTCGAGTATTGGGAATATGGCAGCTATGGCATCATCCTACAGAAGAACGCAAGCATACCGTGGAGAATTTCCCCTCTTCATGAATCCTACAATAATTTAACAAATATTCTCCATCTTGGGGACTGGAGAGGGAATCAGTCCTTCAGCTTTAAGAAGATCAGTTTACAGAAAAGATTCATTTAGATCCATTACTGATAACTTGGTAAAGGAATTAGAACCAGATGCTATTTTGTTAGCTAATGTTTGGATATTTATAGTTATTTACTTAACTTGGCTTGACGTATCAGTAAGAGATTACTGTACCTCGTTAGTCACGAAGAAATCATCAGACCTTATTAATAGTGATCGGTGACCCTGTCAGTGACCGGTGACGAGCTATGAAGGAATCATTGGATATCGTTGATAATGATCCTGTCAGTGACGAGCTATGAAGGAATTATTGGACCTCATCAATGCTTATCCTATAGCTGACGGGTCATAAAGAAATTATAAGGACCTCATTTAAATCCTAGTTTGACGAAAATATTCCTCTGGCAACAAATTCTTTTTGGCAACGAAGATTAGACAGCTTGCTTGTGAAGACATGGCGATCCGAAAACCAGGGTACCTAAATCAGAACCTGCTGACTTCTTTAAACCTAAAGGATCAGTTCCACTTTCCAGTGCAGGGACCGAGAAAAGTTCAATGTCGAATCCAAGAAAGACTTCCTGTATTTATATTTTCATATTGTGTGTAAATATTGTGTGAAGAATTATGACTCATTTAATTAATCTTAATTTCAAAAGCTTACGATGTTAATTGACATCAAGATATCAACTTTTACAGGCAAAATTCATATGATCGTCGTTTTAAGGATAAAGGAATGTGTTTAGAGCTCTGAATCTGTGCTACTCTAATATAAATGGTAGGAAAAGGTTAACTTTAGTTGAAGTCTCATGTCTCTACGACCTTTACTGAGCAATGGTTGAGACGCGACCGCGCCTTAAAATGGAGGCGCAGAGACATGTTGATGCTAAGGTCATAGAGACATGAGACCTTGACTAAAGTTAACCTTTTTATCACATTTATATTACACTCCATTGCTTTCGGGACCCTATCTAGACGTTTAAAGGTCAAAAACAGCAATTTTAAGAATTTTACCTGTATAAGCACCTCACAAAATTAGGGCGTGGCATGTGCAGTCCCATCCCAGACGAGTTGGACCAAAAAAATTTTTTTGGGGGTGTTTTAGCCATGGGATCAAAGTTTGAGCTTATACTCAGCAAAATTTGAGAAATTTTGGTTTTTTTGAACC